TGTTATCAAAGATGGGGTTCTAATTGAAGAATGCAAACTGGGTTATGTTATCAAAGATGAGATTGTAACTGAAGAACAAAAACTGGGTTATGTTATCAAAGATGGGGTTCTAACTGAAGAACACAAACTGGGTCATGTTATCAAAGATGGGGTTCTAACTGAAGAACACAAACTAGGTCATGTTATCAAAAATGGGGTTCTAACTGAAGAAAACAAACTGGGTTATGTTATCAAAGATGAGATTGTAACTGAAGAACACAAACTGGGTTATGTTATCAAAACTTATGATCTACCTGAGTGTTACATCTAATCTTTTTTAAATGTAAAAAACACGTGAAAGAACTGGCAAAGTGCAAGGACACAAAAAAAAAAGAAGGAAAAACAGCCGGAGACATAAATTATCAAACGGACGAAACGTTAAAAAGAAATAAATACTGTGTAAAAGCTTCTCGGCCACTTAAGATAAGTCGGTACTGAGTTTCTAAATCCACAGTGCAACACAATTACTGCACCAACACGACACCAACACCATTTACTACCAGTGTCACCTACTCACCATACTAAGGTCATCTATTTTACTAATACTCCGCAGGTAGATGTTGACAGTGACCGTGCATGGGCCATCTAGAAAAAGAGGGGCGAAATTTTACTGTCATTGCAATCAGCGAGACGTGTTTCTTATAATGTAAAAATTCCTTTTTTAAACTTACCATGGTAACATCATCTATTTTGCTGATACTTCTGATATAGATGTTGACATTCACAATAGCTGGGCCATCTATAAGGCGGTCAAAAGTCAATAGGAGAGAAAGAGAGACAGAAGAATTGTCAGAGAAAGACTTACAGCAAGAAAGTAAAAGGGAATTTTTGATATTTTTATCAGAAAAACTGGTCTCATAAATATAATACACTTACGAAAATATTACCAAATATTTATGTAGTTGTTAAGTACACATATATTGAACCTATAACCTTAATCAACGTTTAATTTTTGTCCATAAAAAATAACTAATAAGACATTTTATGAACACCGTTGAACTTGTTTATCTGAAAAAATACAAGATACTGATCTCGAGAAGAGAGTTTGGTTTCCCTGTCCTGCTAATTAAATAATTCAGAAAACGTTTTGTCAAAATATTAATGTAGGTTTTTCAAATTTTCTGATGTAAGTAACTTCAATATTTAGTTGTTTGTCTAAGAAAGGCTTATCTCTGACTGATCATTCAATAAAAAGTATTATTGCTATTCAATCATTAAGCAGTTTATTTTTTTACTTTTCCCGAAACTACAAAATTTACGAACTCTGAATCCACTAGAGTCACGATTTTCCATTTTACTCCGTATTAACAACACTTAAACACTTAGATTTTTGGTATTTTTCTTTAGAAACAAAACCAGAAAAGACAAACGAAATTCAATTTAAGAAATAATAATATATGTTTCAAAAGGAAAGTTTGAAATAACAGAACTCGCTATTGGTTCCGATTTTGAGAACTTTGTACTGCAGATAGCTTTAAGACGAAACACAGATATTTTATGTGTGTCTTGTT